CACCTATGTGTAAGAGCTTTGGTGAACAGTTTTAAGTGTTGTTTTAGTGAGAACATTCTAGACAGTTAACTAACGGTATATTGGTTGGTAGATGAATAGCAATGGTACGATGTAACCGATTAGAAATAATAATAGTTCTGTTTGTGTAACATCCTCTGCTTGATTATAACAGAATACAATATATAACTAATGGCAGTCAAGCATGTAGAACCACACAGTCGCAAATGAGAAGAGGGAAGAAACAGGGGAAGTAATTATCGGATAAGAATCAAAAATGTACAGAAAAACATGAGCATTTATACCTGTTGGTATTGACCATAACATCATTAAAACTCAGCCAATCCTCAAGGAGGCAAGCTATACTATCGTCCAGTTGTATCATGCCACCTTGATATTCTAGAATGCCCTATCAAGTTCTGATTGGATGGAATCTTTTGGGCTCCTTTAGAGACTCTAGAGTCTTCGTCGTGCTTCTTGAAGCCGTTCCAACAGTTTGTTATGGTACTCCCCTATCACTTATGGAATATTTTAACACATTTATGTTCATCAAACATTGAAAAATTTCATTATTCAAAATAAAACAAAAAAAACATTTCGAAAATATTTTTCGAAGAGTTAGTGTCTGCTATTTATGATTTATGTGAAAAGTTTCCTACGAGTACAGCTGTTACAACTATTTGTTTCATATAGGATAATACTGATTACATGAATTACAAATGTACTATTGTGGTGTGTGCTACTTATATCGACATAAGTAGTATAGGATGTTAATCGTGAACAGAAGGTCTGACAGCAGAGAGACAAGAGCCTCGAACAGTGAAGAATGAAAACAGGATGCAATTTGTATGACAATGCAAGAACAATGAAGTCTGAGTCATTTTGAGACAATTGGTGGACGTTTTGCAAATTAAGCATTTACTTCATGATTGTTAGATTTTATTAACAAGTCCTGTAATTTTGTGTTAAATACGTCCGACTGTCCTCACTGGTGTTCTTGTTCATTACAATGCCATTTCATTTTCTTAGAAGTATAAAGAAAATCCTGCCAATTAATGAAGTGTTTTTGTTTGAATTGTTCACTATTTTTGTACAGTAGCAGATAATAAGATTTCTTTGACAATATTTGAAGTCTACACATTCCTTATTTATCATTATTAAATGAAAATAAACTTTAAACAGGCAGGTCTATTGAAATATTTCTACAGTTGTGTTATCACTTGTGGTTTAGTGCCCTATTAATATACAGTGTAATGATAATGCTAATTAGAGAACAGTGATTTATCGGACGGACTAATGACGTATAAAACCGGTATGAGCAGTCTAGAGTCATTATTGAGCCTTCTTCCCCTTAGCCCTGCCTGTTGAGTCCAGAACATCAATCTTAGCCTCTGCAATATAAATCATGTATTTGAAACATACTGGGTTTATATACAAATCAAACAGACAACATCACACCACAAAATAGGTAATAACATTCGTACGACATCTAGCCAAAAGTGACTGTGAATGTGAAAGACACTAATTAATAAACTGGGTATAACTTAAGAATGGTAAATTGTATAATAATAGTCTCTGAGTCAAGATAAAACTTATAATAAGAGGAACATGAATATGCAAAGTTTAGCTACTTACTAATTGTACAATAAAAATATATGTATTGTATTGCTCCATAAATAGTTCTCAAAAGTTACCATTCGTAATTCTCTTCAGGATATAACAATTTGAAACATAGAATATTTGAAATTTTGATTAGATCACTGACAGTTAATGACGATAACTACTTAGTATACATAAAAAGAAGAAAAAAAAAACGGTCCAAATGAAGTGTGATTATTTTAAAATATCCTTTTATTTCTTTTTCATATTAAAAACAAATACATAAACAATGATTCTTGTTTATTACCACAGTTCTAAATTCAAATAATTGTTGCTAAGACAACAGAAAAATTTAGGAAGAAACAAAATTTCTAATAATAACAGAATACAATTACTAATATTTAAATGATATGTAATGTAACATAAAAATTTATGTCTAATGAGTATAATAATTAGAATAAATGACAGAACTACAAGTTATAAACGAATCAATCAGATTAAAAATAACAGGTCTTGGATTTTGGCGCGAAATTCATTCACTGATTTAGCCAAAATAGCATCTTAACATTTTAGCTAATATCAGATCATGATGAAAATTTGTAAATCTAATTCCTAATTCTAATCATCAATTGTGAATCCTAATCCTTATTCTTCAAATTATTTTATAACCCTCATTTAGGTAGACAATTTTGATGGAGTTTTGTTCTTTAAGCTGGACGGTTTGATTGTGGAGCTTTCATTGTTCTTGTGAACGACATCCTCAGCACAAACTTCAGATAGGTAGACACCCTCAAGGTCACTTTGGCATTGCTCAAAAGTTACCCATAAATTATAGTCTCACTGAATAAATCTTAACAAATGAACAGTGAAATAAATTACAAATTAGATCAAACACTTGGTTAAATATCATGTAATCATATAGGATGAAATAATTATGAAGTGAATAAATATAGGATTCTTTCATAAATTGTGAAAATTATACATTAAATACTTCATTTGTAAATTTTACATCAATTGCCTCAAACTTGATCATTCGTTCATTGTTATTACAATTAAACTTTGTTTACATTCTTGTTCTCTTCAATTTGATCATCTTAATCTTTTGCTGCTCGGGATTCCATTTTCGATTGGTGTTACATACTACTTATGTCGACCGATATAAGTAGCATACACCACAGATAGGAATCAATTTATTAAGTGTTTACAAGTGAATTATAATAACAATAATATTTGAGTGGGATAAATTTAAATTATGAAAACACAAAGAAGAAAGTTTCTTGTAGATAAACTAGTCAAATTATATCATCTTAGAATTAAGAAGACTGTTAAATTATTCAAACTAAAATGAGTCCTTAGATGTATATCATCGTTACACAAAGCTCCGGAAACAAAAAGAGACAATTGACCAATAAAATAGGTGCTTTTCTCTCAGGTTAATTATCTGAAATATTAAGCATGAAAATAATGAACCTTAAAATAATAAGTTTTTGAAACATGGACAATGATCCAATCAACTTAAGACTGAAATCAGTAGATTGATAAGTAAATCAAGTCTAGTGATTTTTATCTTGAATCATTGACTTGGTATCATCGTTTTATTGTATAAACTCAACTGTTATTTGGTCTGTTTATTAAAACTCGATGAAAATGGTCTATAAGATACTGGAGAAGATTTATAACTTAAGTGGGTGATTGTGATTCATTGAATTGATTGGTTTAATCGTGGAACTTTCATAATCTTTGTGGATAACATCATCAATGAAAACTTTAAATGAAATAGACTTCTATCAGAAAACCAATAAAAGTCTTTCGATTTAACCAACTAGATCACAGAACGAAACTCCACCAAAAAAAATGTAAAAAGATTATTTTTGTTAGTAAGCTGAAATTTATTATTTACAAATTAATTAGATATCTAAAACGAGAATCGTTAGTGTGATGACAAGAGCGATATGAAATGTAATCGTGATGATCAATTCTTGGATGATATGATCTGGTGTGTACATTTTGAATACTAAGTTCACACAAAATTATACGAATCATATTTTATGTAATTAAAATATTATGTGGCCTGAGTTATTATTTTGCAATTTGGCGACAGATTGAAGGTGATCCACCTGAATAATTAGGTGAAAAGTCAAGACTATTGGTTTTTAGACGTGTCTACTATGAGGAAAGTCTCTAACAAAGAAGCAATGAGTGTTACTCAGTATCCCTGATTGATTGAGGTTATACTTGTATATTGCTGGATCTCAGCTCAATAATTTAAAGGTTTAATGTTCATATGAATCACTGAAGGTCCTAAGTTTGATCTCCAGCGACAGGATCGTTGATGTTCACCACTGAAGAGTTCCATAGTAGAGTGAAACAGCTCTCCAGTGCTTATTGGTCATTGATGATTATCTAACTTAAATCAATTCATGATCTCAATAAAATTCAACAGTTTCCACAATCTCTATACTGTTTCTTTTTTGTTATTATTTTCTTCATTTCTTCTTATCAGTACAATCTATTATTCACTTCTTTCATTTAATAACCCTTAATAGCTTACTTACTTACGCCTGTTACTCCTAATGGAGCATAGGCCGCTGACCAGCATTCCCCAACCCACTCTGTCCCTCCGGGGGCTACTGCCGGTCCCAAGCCCGGATAAAGGAGGAAGGTTAGGCATGGGTTTAGCGACCCCATCTCTTAGAAAACTAACTCGCTAAAAAAACGCTAACCAGAAAAATTATTCAAACCCTTCATAAACTTCATTATAAATCACTGACTTACCTGTTTCCCATTTTCAAAGAAAAAAAAGAAAAGAAAAAAGAAAAAAAAGAAATCTAATTTACCATGGACATTAATCAACTTGAAATGAAATATGCAACTGTTTATCATGTCACATTTTGATTGGTTCACTTGTTCAAATATCATTGTCTCAGGTATATATATATATATATATATATATTTATTTATTTATTTAATGTACAGTCACATGATTTTAATGGACCAATCAACGATGAGGTTAACTTTTCATCCAATCTCCATTAATCTTATTTTTAAAGCTGCCAATCATATTTTGATTGAATAGAGGCACAACACAACACAACACAACACATATATACACACACACAATAAAATGATGTCTACTGAAATGGTTGGTGATAATGATAATAAATAAATCAAATATTTTGTAAACAATTCTGATTATTGTCATACTGTACAAACAATATTTATCCATAAGACGAATAATCTAGTTAGTCTGTTTGTTTTTTGCGATCTTTTTCTGAACTCAATTGGATCGTATTCAATTCACATTGATCAAATGATGATCTCAATGAATAATATATCAATGATAATGATTAAAATCTATGTAAATCAATAAATGGATAAATGGATTTCTGTGAAGTTATCATATCATGTATATCCTTCATTTGACAGGAATATTGTAAATTATTAATATCATGTTAATTATATTACTTTTACATAGTTTATGTTTTAAATTAATTCATAATAGTCCTACATCATCATCATCGACAACAACAACATCAACAACAACAACAATTTATGGTCAACAACGTTGTATGAAACCGGTATTAATACAAATACCAGAATGTCAAAATACATTTTATAATTATACTGGTATGCCAAATTTAATAGGACAAGAGACACAATTTGATGCAAGACATCAATTACAAACATTTAAACCATTAATCACTTATAAATGTTCATCAAAATTAAATTTTTTCTTATGTTCTATTTATACACCAATGTGTGATGTAAATACACATTATTTAATTGGACCATGTCGTCCATTATGTGAACATGTACGTGCAAGATGTGCACCATTTCTTAGAGTATTTGATTTTAATTGGCCAGAAAATTTGAATTGTTCACGATTTCCTATAAAAAATAGTGTTGGTGGTGCAATGTGTATGGAAGGTCCAGAAGATTTAGAAGAAGATATAAATTCATTGAAAAGTGCAATCAGTAGTAGTAGTAGTATTATTAATAATAATCTAGAATTAAATGGTAAATTCAATAAACCAAATCATAAAGATCTACCATTAGATCCATCTATGAAACAAATGTTACAAGTAATCAATTTAGACAATGAAAAAATCAATAACAATCAAATGAAAGAACAAGTAACAATCAAAGAAACACAAGAGAATGAAGAACAATTAGAATTAAATCAAATCATGGAGAAATTGACCAGTGAATTCTTAATCAATAAACAATTTCTTCCTAATACTTTAATTACATCACATATAAATAAATATCCATTATCATTGCCACAATTAGCTCAATCCATACGTTATTGTTCACATTTTAAAAAATCAATATTTTATGTATATATTAATCGTACTGGACGATGTGCTCCATTATGTGAATCTAATATACTTTATACAACAGAAGCTAAACATTTATCCATTATGTGGACTAGTATATTAGCTGGTATTTGTAGTTTAATGACAATATTTACATTAATACGTTATATAATGAATTTAAAAGATTTTCGTTTCAATGAAAAACCAATTATTTATATTGCATTATGTCAATTATTTTATGCATTAGGATTTGGTTTAAGTTTAATATTAGGTCAATCTAATGTAACATGTGGACAAGATTTAGATTCTGGTCAAAGAATTCGATTACAAGAAGGTTTAGATAATGGTCTATGTGTATTTATATTTATAATACAATATTTCTTTTCTATAGCTAGTTATATTTGGTGGACAATGCTTGTTATTCATTGGGCTTTACAAAGAATCAGTATGATTACATCATGTATTGGTTGTTGTAATACTCATCCATCACAATTAAGTAATAATAATAATAGTGGAAATATTTGTAGTAATGATAATAAACAATTAAATCATATTGATGAACTGAATACTGAATCAAATTGTTATTGTTTCCCAATTAATTCATTTTGCTTCTGTTCAGAAAATTCGTTAAATTGGAATCAATCAGAAATTATTATGAATGAAAGACTAATGCATCCTTCAACAAAAAAGCATCATGCTAGTAATAATAATAATAATAATACTCTAAACAATCCAGCGTTAAATACACCACCTACAAATGTAAAACAACAGTATCAACCAAATTTTCAGAATACATTGAATCAAACAATAACTAATGGTATGAAACGTGATAATGGTAGTTGGTCAACAACTATAAATCATCATTATCATAATCATGATTATTGTCAACAACAAAGATATAGTATGATGTTCACATCGAAATCCGATCAAGTTTCAGCTTGTTTAACTAGAGAGCATGTAGTAGCATGGTTGACAGCTGGTTTATTTACTGTTGGTGTTCTTGTTAGTCGACAAGTAAGTCAATTTTTTTTCGAAATTGAAATTTTAAATTTTTTCAGTTTGAAAAAGAAAGGTCATCATCGTATTAGATTAAAATTGATGATTATTTGTGTCATTCTCCCTGTATATATATATATATATATTTGAAATAGCTTAGAGGTGGTTTGTAAACTTGTCAGTACATAATAAATGTGACTTTTAAAAAGCACAAATCGATCTAAGTTGGTAAATTATTGACAATTGGGAAGCAATGGATGACTGTATGGCTCCAAAACCGGTAATTAGAGCCAATCCCTTCAGTCCCATATATTAATTTTTAACTACACAACGACTGATGCAGGATCCAGTAATGTACAAGTCTAACTTCAATCAATCTCATACTGATAGTTATTTTTTTTTAGAGAAAAAGGATTTTTAACAGATGGGTTTTGTGGATATTATGGTAATTTCAATGGTTGAGATCATGAGTCAATTGAAGCTAGATCACCATGGAAAACCTGGAAGCACTGGACGGCCGTTCCATCCTATTGTGGGACCCCTCAGCAGTGCACATCAAAGACCTCAGCCCTGTGAGATTCGAACCCAAGATCTACTGAGTTCGCGCGCGAGCACTTAACCACTAGACCACTGAGCCGGCATCTTAACCATTGAAGAAGGATTTTTACCTATCAATCCAATCAACAATGAATATGCATGAATATTAACATATTAGAATGTAAATGTATTCAGTTTTCTGATTCGAAATGGAGTTGAACATATGTCCTAGATTCCATTACTAGTCATCATACCAATATACTGAAATTTCTCTTAGAATCACTTGAAACATTTGAATGATCTAGTTCTATTAGGTTAAGATTATTTCAAGATAAAGTTTTCATTTTGTGCACACAACTTTTTATCTGGTTTATCAATAAATAAATCGTCTTGAATGTAACGATTAACATTTTTCTTTCTATTTTTTCTTTGGATCAAAAAAAGTAAGATCAACCTTGAACAAATAGTGACATATTGTTACATTGACAATAAATCTTAATTCTTCCTTGAGAGAAAGAAAAATAGACATTCCTAGAAATGTAGACTTTAATAAGATATAACTTAAAATTGTATCATGGCATTATTATTATTACTTTTTGATAACATTCAATATAAATCAAATCATAATATATTACTTTTCATATGTTTCGATTTAGAAAAAAGGAAATTTATTCATCCCCCTTGAAGAAAACAAAAACAGTGGTTGAACCCATGAGTCAATTGAACTAGACCTACTGTGGGATTCACTTGTGCGCATCCACGATCGGACCTCGCGAGATTCGAACACAGGACCTATCGGTCTCGTGCTCAAACGCTTAACCTCTAAACTATTGAGTTGGCCAGCATTCAACGATGTTGATGTCTAACTTCAACCAATCCACGAAATCGCTCCACCGTCCACCATGGTCTTCAGTGATTTACTATCTCACAACTGACCTGGTTGGACTCTACTGATCACTGCTTCTCATTAATATTAACACCGTTGGTTGCCGGCCAGCTCAGTGGTTTAGAGGTTAGGCGTTTGCGCGCGAGACTGATAGGTCCTGGGTTGGAATCTCGCAAAGCAGGATCGTGGATGCGCACTGCTAGAGATTCTCATACTAGGACTAAACGACCGTCTAGTGTTTCCAAGTTTTCCATAGTGGTCTAGCTTCAATTGACTCATGAATTCAACTGTAAGAAAAAATAGTGTTGAATATTATGTTTAAAATAGTCGCAGCAATTGAAGTTTAAATAATTCTAGCGTTTCGTTCAATAAACTTGTTTGGACTTCTTCACGGTAATAACCTATATCAGTCAGTCAGTGACAACGTAGAACTTTGTACGTACGTACATCAGTTTGAGTTGCCACACCACATTAGCACAGAGATGCAGTGGTCGATTCAAATCCCGTAGTAGTAGAGGTAATAAGAGTATAAGCAGTAATCTGATTTCAATTACATTCATTTGTTTTAGTTAGATATATTCACTAATTATCATACTTAAAGTGTAATTTGAAATCGATTATATAAATTTGTATTTGATAAATGAATGTTTGAGATATGAGTTGTAGTGTTAATCATTTCTCTCTAAAATACAGCATCTTCCATTGTGTATAGTATCCCAAGGTTTTTTTTTCTTTTTAAAGAAGATCCCTCAGTGCAATGATTTTTGTCTCTGTTTTAGATGGGAATAATGTATTTAAGTTCAGTTCATACATGTGATGCAAATATTTTCAAGATTCATACACAGATCAGTAAGCGTGAAGCATAATTGTACGTAGAAAAGATATATAATTAGTGTATTATAGATATTCGAGGAAATATAGTTTATCATGACTTAGAAGCAATTGATATATCGATAATCAAGTGTACACACCATTTGAATTAATGCAACAAACATACTTCTTCAGCCTGAACACTATGTAAAAGTTGAGCATTATATTCATGTAAATTTTAGTATAAACTTTAATTTTCCAGATGTATATTCAATAACAAATGTTCACCAGACATACTCCGAATAGCAAAGCATCTACCCACGACAAAATATATATTGTATAGTTATTAGCTTAAAAGTATAGTTTCGTAGAAAGCATCTTTATTATATTAAGTAACCTTAAAGTTTTTAAGCTTTCCAACCTTCTTGTCATGTCCAGGTTCACTCCTCCATTTACATCTTAACCAGTAAATATAAATCATTATTTATTAATTAATTGATAAATTCATCATTTGAATTTAATGTCGTTAATTTAATAAAAAAAATAATGAACTTTAAAGATATGTAGACATTAAGATATTATTATTATTATGATGATGATAAGTAGTATATGACAGAAACTGTCTAAATTCTAATTTCCGCTATAACTTCATTATACATACGTATAATTTATCTCTAAGTTAATCACTAACCACTATGGTTACAAATATTAACATACTTTAATGGGGTTTTTCTTTGTAAATAAAGATGTCTCATTTGAAAATTGCAGAGATTTTTTTAAAAAAAAACACAGACTTTTACATTTTGAATAGTGGAACCACGTAGAATAGGAAGGGATAAGTAGTATTTCATGATCATGTTCCTTCAACTCTCATTGACGGATAAATTATACTTGTAATCATTTCTGAGATTGAAATTCAAATAATTTCAATCTTTCACTTAGCGAATTGGTTCATACTTCTTCAGGGAAATAGTGAACACATCGATATCAGGATTATTATAAATAAAAATATCTTTATAATGCTTTTACAATTGATATAAACCTAAAGAGGAAGAATGTTTAGTAAAGTCTCAACGAAAGAATTTGAGAATTTACAAATACATTCTTCTTCTTCTTTAATGTCTCACATTAACTCGGCGCCCAAATATTATGAAACTGTTCGTTCGAAAGTTCTTATTTATTATATAAACGTATTACGAAATATCGGAAATGTTTTACAAGATGAATCATATTCTACAGTTGTAATGTTATTTTGCTATCACTGACACTACCATTACTACACTTACTACTATTATTAATACTGTAATGAATGAGAATATAGGTGGGGACAACCAGTTGTATTGTAATACAAAATTACAAAATCTCTTGGTAATATATGAGAACCATACATTGAATACTTTATTTGGAAATTTCCATCTTTTGATTCACAATTCTTTTCTAATTCCATTTCTGTTTTCTTCAAGTCGACCTTCATAGCCTTCTGCTACCAGGTTTTCCACTCCCGATTGGTGTTACAAATTAGTTATGTCTGTCGACTTAAGTAGCATACACCACACTACTATTATTTCTACTACTACTACTACTACTACTACTACTACTACTACTACTACTACTACTACTACTACTACTACTACTACTACTACTACTACTACTACTACTACTACTACTACTACTACTACTACTACTACTACTACTACTACTACTACTACTACTACTACTACTAGTACTACTACTACTACTACTACTACTACTACTACTACTACTACTACTACTACTACTACTACTATTACAACTACTAATCCTACTATTACAGTGGCACTTTCGTCGCTCTGTGCTTATATGATGATGTTAGCTTAGACCGATGTGTATATATATATCTTAGGCTCTAAGTTATTTTCAGCTGAATAGCAAGACTTGTGACAATATTATACTGAGTTATTCTATGGATTTATTAACTATTGGTTTGAACTATATTAGAATAAATGTATCACCCTCGGTAAAAATAAACAAGTCATTACAATAATTATAACTTGTCATTAGAGACTTTGAATGACATATTCCTTAATAAGGTGCGTGTACGTGTGTGTGTGTTGTTGTTGTCACATTCTCAAAGTGAATATAAACACTCGAACAATGTAAGTGCATCAAACGAACGAGTTCAAATTAAAGTGAAACATACGTCTCGGATCCTACTATTACATACAATCAATATATTCAAACAAAATCCTATTTCCTCATCTTAAACACTACTACTACTACTGATCATATTAAGGATTTTTCCTAATTTCACTTATATACTACTAACCAATAAATTATCAATAACACTTGTATTAACTAGTCATTTTTTTATTAGCATATTTAAATGATAATAAATGTGTAATTTATGTCTGACAGTAAATTATTAATGACAGTCGTAATAATAATAATAATAATAATAATAATAATAATAGTATTCATGAAGGTGGTGCTCTTAGGAATTTCGGGAATGGTTATAATTACAAATCAATAATAATAAAAATAATAATAATTAATGTTTGTAGTTGAAATTCATTAATTTTAGTAAAACTGACTACTTTCTTTATTACCATTATTCTTCACTTTAATTAAACAGTGGTTTATATTATTTACAATACTGTTGTTAGGTTACTGCTAAATTTATTTACTGGACATATATCCCCGACGGGATTGTTTAATTCACTGACCATCTTTAAAAAAAAGAGGGACACAATTGGCAAACTTTCAATGTCAATGAATAGTGGAAGTATTTGGTAGAGCTTTCGTATGT